CAAATATCCTGTCCCCCATGTACTCCGTCCCCCACCCACGAGTGTCCTGTCTCCCACGTGCCCCCTGTCATCCACCCACGAGTGTCCCACCCCCACATACCCTCTGTCACCCACCTGTTAGAAAAGAAACAGGTGACCCAGGAGTGGATGGGGTAAACAGAACTGCTTTATTGCCCACGCACGTTTTCCTCGGACATTCAACACCACGTCCAAGTGGCGACAATTTGGCACCAATCACCAATCGGCCCTTTTGTCTATTTTAGTCCATTAATTCACATGTCTGTCACTACTTTTCCTAAACCTTATTTAGTAATGTTAACTGCCATAAAATGAGCATTAGTAAGCAGGGGATGAATATTATTATACCTGCCCCTAATTACTATTTACAAATTTTTAAATTAAATTAACACTTTTCTATGCTACAAACTTTCCGAATCAGCAGGTTACAGACATTACAAGAAAAGTAACCCTGAAATATTTATACAGCGTAGGCTACGTCTACACTGGCATGATTTTCCGGAAATGCTTTTAACGGAAAAGTTTTCCGTTAAAAGCATTTTCGGAAAAATCGCGTCTAGATTGGCAGGCTGCTTTTCCGCAAAACCACTTTTTGCGGAAAAGCGTCCATGGCCAATCTAGACGCAGTTTTCCGCAAAAAAGCCCCGATCGCCATTTTCGCGATCGGGGCTTTTTTGCGGAAAACAGTACTGTGCTGTCTACACTGGCCCTTTTGCGCAAAAGTCTTTTGGAAAAAGACTTTTGCCCGAACGGGAGCAGCATAGTATTTCCGGAAAAGCACTGATGATTTTACAGGAGATCGTCAGTACTTTTCCGGAAATTCAAGCGACCAGTGTAGACAGCTGGCAAGTTTTTCCGCAAAAGCAGATGATTTTGCGGAAAAACTTGCCAGTCTAGACAGCCCACCAGTAAAAGTAGATAAAAGACACAACAAAGAAGAGCAGCTGCATGCTTATCTATTTTACTGGGCTGCAAATATGAAGGAAAAGAACATGTTCAAGGATAATGCTTACTGAGGCTGACCTCCTTACCACTATCCCAGACCCCTATGCATTTTACATATGTAAGGGGACTGTTACCCCTTACTAAAACTCTGTGGGACTTTTTTGGTTTGCCAGCTCCCAGTTTCAGAAGGGGAAGGGTTAATGAGACTGACAGACCCCAGAGACAATGGAAAGCAGCCAACACTCCAGCTCAGCCTGATTGACAGGTTGGACAGGCCAGTGAGGAAGGGGAGAGGCCAGGCCCCGTCCTCCCTGTGAGCTGGGATTGTTCTGGCTCTCTCTGAGCAAGCAGAGAGCTGAGACACAGCCCAAGGAGTGCAAGCTGTGTGCTGAGGGGCAGTTTTTGCAGCAGCTGAGCCTGACACACACAGCTCAAGGAG